ACGCCACATGGAGTGTGAAGGGTTTTCATGGATGCCGATCGAAGAAGCACACCACACTACATCAAAATAAGCACGGTAAAAATTGTGACAGGGAAGGTGTGATAGGATAATTTAGGAAATGTGAATAGCCCAGGGCAGAAGGGGAGATACCACAACTGATTATCACACGTTTGGTCAAAGGATCGGCTTCACTTGTCTCTTTGACTAGTTGTTGAATGGTGTTATGAATGGCGAGACTCACTGATAATGCCGACTACGATGCTGGCGAAATGTCTTGGAATATACCACGTCCACGGTCCTACTCTGGAAATAATCATGCATACAATGAACTCCGGACCAGGTGCGTTCCTTTAAGTCTTTCTACCAATATGACCATTTTGCGAAAACAAGGTCAAACAACCCCTATTTAAGTAAAGGCATCATCTGGTTTTAGGATTGGGAGCATCTGTATAACTTATAATCACCTTGTCCGTTGGACTCTTTCATCTACACTAGTGAGTCGCCAGCCGGGCCTCACCAATTATAAGGTGAGATACCAGTCTGTTTGAAACAAACCGTATGTGACTGCGACACAAGAGCATCCCATTTGTTACCGTGGAAACTTCATTTCACAACTATAAATGGCCCGCTAAATGCCACAACTGTGGCATTGGACTGGCCTTATCAACAAAGACCACACCCAATATTAACCTCGCCTCGAACAAAGAGTCAGACGTTACATTGAGTCTGATCTAAACTTCTTAGACTATAGCCAACAAAAAATAAATGCGTAAATTGTGCAGTCCAGCGGGATGACTGATTGTGCACCTGTTCGCTCCTTTTTAACTAGGAAGGCCCAGACGATGGGCAATGCCGACGAATCAAATTAATAGCATCAGACACAATTCAGCTATCTTTCTAATCTGCTCACGACAAGCCCTGATATAACAGAATGCGATCCGCCCATTTGATACGAAATTCACAACGTTAGAAGAACCATCTCGTTCACTTAAAACTGGTTGATCACTGTTAATGTAGACGACCTCTATACAATTTCATCAAAAATGTTGCTTTCTAAATTCTATGCTGCTTTCCATAATGAAAATGAATAAAAAGTATAAATTTGTAATTTCTTTGGTTAAAATACATATATATTTTCTACATATAAATATTCGCGTGCAAGATATATATATATATATAAGTATATAACTATGCAGAGGACGGTTTTATTAGATGATTTCATGTTAGTCGCTTAACAATAATTATATACACCTTAAGATGTTTATGAGTGGGCATGGATGAATATACATGTATATATGAATACATAAGGTATAAGAATAAACGAAAATTCGTGTGATCAAAAGCCGTCAAGTGAAATCATCCCCTTCGACCACCACGATTACCATCAGATCTACCCCTTCTTCCTCCACCACCAGCTCTGTTGGATCTGCCTCCACCTCTAGAAGGCCCAAGAGTTGGTCGTGAGTGTACCAACTCTACTAGTTTGTAGAGATTTTCGTGACAAAAAACGCAGCCAGAGAATTGAGAACCTGCATCGCCAGCCTCTGAAGGAAGCTTTGCCTAAAATTAAATGGATAAAAGAAGTTATGATAGTTAGGTAGATAATGGTTAGCTGTCACTCTTACCATTAAACATTGCATTAGAAACCATAGATATATGGAAGTTGTTTGACCATGTTTTCGCAACTTGGTCATATTCGTATGAAGATTTAGAGGAACGCACCCAGTCCGGAGTCCATTGTATGCATAATTTCCAGAGTAGGACCGTGGACGTGGTAAATTCCCAGACGTTTCGCCAGCATCGTAGTCGGCATCGTGAATAAGTCTCGCCATTCGTAGCACAATATTACAACTCATCAAAGAGACAAGTAAAGCCCATCCTTTGACCAAACGCGTGCTAAACACTTGTGGTATCTTCCCTTCTGCCCTGGGCTATTCACATTTCCTATATCCTCCTATCATGCCTTCCCTGTCAACATTTTTACTGTCCTTATTTTTAATGTAGTGTGGTGTGCTCCTTCAAGCAACATTCATGAAAACCCTTCACACTCCACACTGTCGTTATCACCCCCTTCACCCTTGGGCTGGAAATGTTGACCAGAGTCTGTCATATTGTTACTTAGTCCTTCTCTGCGTCCTATCAAAGTCCCCCGTCGAATTCTTACGCTATCTCCCTGGTACATGTATTCCACTCGACCCCTGCCCCCCCCCCTCCATTCGAGGCGTAATTCGTCCATCCCCTGCAGCTGAGTAATTAATTAGAGACTAAAGCCTCAAAGTAAGTCTCATTGTCATGCCTTTGCTACCAGGACCAAGTCTATTGTAGAACCTACTGTCAGCCAACTAGCTCCAATCGCCGCCTCGTCTATCCTGTCTCTATCCCTGATACCAAGTCTATGACTTGCCATGCCCTAGTTGCTTGTGTGCCAACCCACAAATGTTGTGGTACTGCTGG